ATATCAGATCGATCAACCTTACGCATTTGACCATGCCACTACTGCCGGCCGACATGGGCCCGATCCTGATTGGCTGTTAGTTCTATTGCTCCTTTGTTGTTCATACGGTTGACACGATTGATTGTGAATGAGCCATGGTAAACCAATCCTAACCTGCGTACAGTTGTTCTCATTTGCTAGTGGGCTACGGGTCCGAGACTACACAGTTTGAAATAGAAACGCAACAAATTTGCATAGATCTATCGAAGAAATTTCAACTTCTAGTGAACCATCTTGTTGAAAAGACAGTTAGTCAAAAAGTACGAATAGTCCTTTGATGCTTCTAAATCGTGGAGCAAACTCCACGTGATTTTCTTTAGGGAAACAAAACACCCATTTCATTCCCTGCTCTAACCGGTCCCTGTCCCCTCCGCCCCGCCGAAAGTAAGGTACATCTTACCGTCCAGTTGATGTAACGCTGCAGCTGCCTGAATCCGATCCCGAAAATGCACAAAAGCATAATCCCGTATTTTTTTCACTCGTTCCACCGCATCACACGCACCGATTGCTCGATTGAAATGCTCTTTCAACGCCTCCTCGGTTGTGTGTAGCATCAAATTTCGGACATACAAAATGCGTACCTAAAGCGAGAGATTGTGAACAGATTTTCATGTTTGATTCATGCAACAATGAAATGAACACAAGAGAGAGAAAAAAAATACTAACCTCATTGGTTTTATTACTACAATGCATACATAGAAGTGAGGATCGCGCAGAACCTGGAGTAGACCGGCAATTGAAGGTCTGAAAATTAAGTAACAATAAACTTTTTTATAAATCTACGATAGAAAAAAGGTAGCAAAAGTCTCTAGCATTTGTTACAAAAGACGAGACAAACAAAAAGACCTAAACTATCCTCTTGGATAATGATCGTAAATTGTTAATAAGTCACACAAGATAAAAAGTAGCAGCTATCGATTTAACTGATTATTGAATATAATCTCAAACACTGTGCCACACTGCCATAGATGCCACGTTTACGGATTACATAGGTTAAGTTAGAAAACAGATTAGTCGGTGAGACACAACACTAATCATGGGTCAACATGCTTTTGTCCAATGATTGGCTTAATTAGATTACGGCCTGAGAGTGACTAGACGGCATGAACAAATAGGACCTGAACGATCGTGGGTCATGGGAGTTAGAGTGACTGAACAAAATACTTTTGGGCGCAGAGGTCGTGGGTCAACTTTCTTATCTCGATGGCCTCTGCTATTTCTATAGAAAGCAAAGTTGATTACCCTTCACTCGGTGTGGGGAGCACGATAAAGAAGTTTGTAAGAGACGTCCGGAGTTACGTGATGTCCAGTGTCAACTAGTTGTGTTAGGACTGAGCTGCATATTGATCCAGTCTATATCAATCTTAACCAGCGTGGGTGAATATGGTGAGCCTGGCTTACGGAATGACGCATGCCACGGAGAGATACGTTACAATTTGCGGATAACTGTAATGAATCAAGCTTCCCAGGTGACGTTAGCAATGTGCGCACGTGTCACAGCAACCGGACCACATACCATAGGCCAATTGTATCAACCAATCATAAACCGTGTGGCTTAGACAGAAACTGAACAACGGCACAAATACTAGCACGCAATTGGAAAAGCTTTGAATGATCAATAAATTTGTTTTGTACATATTATTTAATCCCTCTGAATTCTTCACTTAACCAACTGATATTCCTGTAGCCTTTTCTTCGCGTCTCGGTCACGTGCATGCAAGTACCAGTGCGATCCAGTGCTTAGGTTGCTTCCGTGATTGCCAGTCCGTGATTTCTAATCCGTGATTCGTACTACGTGATCAGTGCATATTACATTCACTACACTCGTCTGGAGTCCCGCAAATCGTGAAATACGATCTAATCGAATCACATAAAGGGTCATAAAGAATTTAGTTGTTTCAGATCACGGGTGAGAGAGATAAGACGATGTGAAACGATGGCGCAATCATATTTGATTTATTTCAAGGCTTATGAATGCAGAAGGCATGTGCACTCGTCTTGAATGCATAGTCATGGGCTCTAGTGGACAATTACATGTGTCAAAAACCACACTTTAGGGGCTGAGGGTTTTGGTTTTCAGCCGGGAATTCTCCGCTCTGCTGTTTCTGTGACCGAAACCAAACGGTGCACAAGCTACCGCACAGTGCGAAAAAGTGAAAAGTGGCGTCCCACGTCCTTAGTCATTCAGTTAGTTTCAGTTTAAGCAATCAGTAAGCATGCCAGTCCTCGGTTGGTCGTCACAGTCACATTTCCATAGTAAATAAAACACCTTCAAAATTAGGAAGATGAACAAATCCGCAAGGGGGCAATTCACACTGGTAACACACAAAACACGAAGATCAAGAAGAATACCAGTTTGATTTCGAATCAGTGAGAATCATCGACCAAGCCCGGTCAAATACGCCGGAGAGTTTCTCGAGGCTCGACACTCTTCAATCAACTCAATAAACAAGCTCATCGAACTAGATCACGCAAATGCAATTCAATGATCCAATGATGCAACAAAAACGATCACGCTGTGACCTGAGAACTGACTGAAGCCGCAATCTGGACGAAAAGACAACTTCCTCCTCTCCCACCCCCACCCGCTCGCAGCAGTTCAACGGCGAACCGAGTCAAACAGAGTGAGAAAAAGGGACAAAAATAGTCGGTTGAGATCAGATATATCCTCAGTATGGTCGGGGGTGGGTGTCTAGGGTAGCGGCTGGTACCTCTTCTCTTGCACTTCGTTAAATGCTTCCATACGATCAAGCGTCTCAAGTAGTCTCTGCTGAGGAAGCCCTATTCACTGTCTTCTCGTGGCGGAAGTGTTTTTCCACCAAACTGAGAGGACAAATAGCCGACATCCGGGGCTATAACCGGATTGGTGAACCATTGGTAGTTCATCCAGGGAAGGGAGTTGACCCTTGATTCCAAACCAAGAGGGGGTGTACGATCCACACCAGACAGTTCTCCCGGCTCGACTGGGCATTGAGGTGTATTGGCACCTAGGATGTTGGACCCCGTCCAAAGGGCGTATGATCCGATGAACTGGACATTGGCCCCAATGGATTGCAGCTTTCACAAACCACCACGCTGTCTTAGGGGACGGTCTTTGGCTGGCCAACGGCTCCGGTTGTGGATTCCTCAAGAAAATTAATCTGCCTTAGCCTGGGAAACCTGATAGAATTCAGCCCTCAAACCAATAATGGGACGTTTTTCTTTTTGTAGAGATTATTGTACCACGATCTGTTCGGCACACAGGGTGGCCTCAGACAAGTATGAGATATAATAATACATACATACATAAACAAACGGGTACAAGCAGAACACCTCCAATTCACAAGCACCGATGATTTCACCGTGGCTGGTGATGGAACGTTTGCAAACCAATTGTCAAGCTCGGCGAACAGGCGAAATGGAACGAGACAACAATACACATTATCTGCAACTAGTGGAATTGAACGGGATAAATTAAACCCTGATATTCTGTGCGTAAAATTATTTTGGAAATCAAAGGCTATAATAGAGAAAGGCATGGAAAAGATTAGTTGCACTGGGAGGATTGGCATACACAAGTTGCGGAGAGATGACTTGATCGCTTAAGCCACTCGGGCTCCATGAAATTTGACAAACTATTCATATCCGATGATGCAACGCAACATATTTGTAGTAAATGCAGTATTAGTAGTACGCACTGGTCACGAAATATGAATCACGGGTTAGAAATCACGAAGTAAATAATTCCTCACTATCTCCAAATTCTATCCTCTAATCGTCATCCGAAGGGTCACCGAATATCTTTGTGTGAAAGAACCGTAGTTTGGACAAAATATCACTAACTTTGATTTGCTCCGTGAGCAGTGTGATGCGCCTTTGTGAGCGCGATTTTATGCTGGCTTCAAACAAGTATAGCAAAGCAACAATGAAAGAAACGGAAATTTCGTGGCCGATCGATAGTCCAGTATTTCGTGGGTAATGTAGTCCAAAAGGTCTTTTGCGCCTTTTACTATGAATTCGAAATCTGTTTCTGCTTTCTCATCTGAGGGTTAGTGATGTTCCTGGATTTCGAATATCGAAACAAGTTGATAAATTTTAAATGCTCCCGTATTTATCTAGTACTAATCTTTTGGATCCACATAAGTCTGGACAGAACCTAAAATAATTTTGAAACAACTTCACAGATGTGAAGATGTGTCCTAAGCATGCGAAATTGTTAAAACTTTCAGAATTTGTATTATTTCTATGGAAGGTGGTACAAAGAGAGCCCTGGCTAGCGAAAGAATAAAGAATAGGGCTCCTCCAACCAGGTGCGCAGACGTAGCGGCTGGAAGTACCTCGCGAGACAATGTCGACTACCACCCGAAACGAACGAATCGTTAAATACAGCCCGACGGACAATCCACATCTCACCAGAAAGATATACACCGAATACCACAACGTCGAAGCGGTCGATCAACGTATCTCGCGCCACGATCGGGTAAAACCAGTCGGAACGGCACACGGAAGAAGAGGCAACGTACGTGCCAAGTGCGGACCAAAACCAGCAGGGATTGACCGAGAGAAAGAGGTATGACCCATCCTGCCGCGCGGTTAAGAATTGATTGTATATAATTGAAAGCAGGTACCGGTTGTTTCGAATTCAATCAATAGACGTTTTGCCAGTCAACTCGCCTTTTCGTTAGGATATCACTCAATGTCTCAAAACATTGTTTACGATCATCCCGAGGTTCCCATCCAGAGAACCTAAATGGACCTATGTGACCCAGACTCCCGGTTAGGGTTTTCATACCTTTGGGCTAGGTTTTATTTGATCCACCCCTGGCTTTGTTCCATCCAAGTATGATAGACAGTGAATTACTGGAGTAGTTAGAAAAATCAATATCACTAGGAAATAACCATATAAAGCAAGTCACAAGAGAACGGCTCTAGAGGTAATTGGACAGAATAACCCCGTAGAATAGAGAACAGGAATCACAGAATTAGATTAAAAAAATTATCCAGCCGCGTGTTATCACACGCCGAACAGTCAGTACTAGTTCGAGGATTGAACCTTAACCATGCTGATGTCAATCAATCGCTTAGATTTCATAGCAGCACTGGAGTTCGCTATGAAGACAAAACAACATACTCCCGGATTTCAAAGAAGACGTAAGACAAAGGATATCCGCTGTATTGAACAGGAGAAAAGAGAAAAATGTCTTCAATCAAAAGGAACTACGAGCTATGGACAACTTGAAACGAGACAAGAACACAATCATTCTCCGGGTAGGAAAGGAAAATTGACGGTGGCCACGAACAAGACGGATTACACAACTAATGCAAAACAACTACTGGAAGACACCAACACGTACTGACGGATTGAAGTGAAGCCAACGAAGAAGACCGAAAGCAAGATCGGTAAAGTACTGAGCAATTTGAAAAGGAATAACTTCATCACGGCGAATAAATACAGATGCACGGAACCGGAGGACAATACAGTACCGCGAATCTATGGACTCCCGACAGTACATAAGCCGGATGTACCGCTTCGATCAATCGTCTCACTATCGGGAAGAGCGACGTACCGCCTAGTGAAAGAACTTTACAAACACGAAATAGTTGGTCAGGCTAGTTGAAGACACCTTTGTTATCCTGAAATCTAGCCAGCTGGAGGAGACGCACCGCCTAATCAATAATTTGTTCCTTGGAATCAAATTCACCTTGGAGAAAGAACAAAACGGACAACTATCATTTCTGGACCTACTCGTCAAACGAACCGAGGATGGGCAACTGCAAACCGACGTTTACCGAAAGCCAACCCACACCGATCAGATCCTCAGCTTTCAAAGCAACCAGCCCGTGGCACACAAGAGGAGCTGCATATAAAAGCTTATCAAACGAGCAAAAACGCACTGCAGCAATCCCCAACTTCAAAAGGCAGGGGAAGCCCAGCTTTTTGAGGTGTTTCGACGTAACGGATACCCACGGAATTTCGTGCTATGCTGCTTCCATACGACGCTCAAGGAGACCACAATAACTGAGGCCCCGAGAGTTGCATCAAATGCACAGCCAGAAGAACGACTGACGATTAAACGAATAATACTGCCATATATACAGGGAATCTCGGAAATGGCAGCCAGATTGTTACAACCATCAGGAATTTCAGTTGCACACAAAACAACAGCAACAATGAGGGCTACCCTGTCAAGGCCAAAGGATCAACTATCAAAGGACTATTCCTCAAATGTCGTATACAACTTGAAGTGCTGTGACTACGACAAATATTATGTGGGGAAAATCAGCAGAAAGCTCAAGACACGACTCCACGAACACACACTGGCGGTCAAGCGACACGAGGAGAAATCATAAATCTCGATCCACATGGATGCTGAGAATCATGTCTTCGAAATGAACAAAGCAAGGATAATCGGAAGGGGACCCACCAAGTCAATAAGGGAATTCATCGAAGCCTGGCACTTCAGAACGAATAGTATAAATAAGCACATGAAACTAGAACCTATTTATTACCATCTAAGGAAACACTGGTCACCCGAGGGTGCCTGTGGTGATTCGGATCTACGAGATCACGCCTGCCCTGGAGCAGCGCGGTACAGTTTCCGGACATTGATAGTCAATCGATCTTGAGCAATGACGCCAGTAGCACGTGCACAGCCTCCGGATACACGTCATTGATGGGCCGTTCCAGCCAATCAGATACAATGCAGAGAAGAGCAGTATGACGCAAGATGTGATGCAATATGATTGGTGGGAACTAAGGTAGCCAATGATCTTTTCTTGTGTACATATATATTCACTTTCATTTCCTTCAATAAACGACTTTGTGATTCGCCTGTCTTGTGGCCTTTTTCCTCGCGTCTCGATCCTGCGGGTTATTGCGAGTTCGAGCCATTGCGGTCCAGTGTCATCGGTTTTCTAATTCGTGTTCCGTGATTCCGATTGCGTAGTTCGTGTCCTGAATTTTGTGCGTAACTTCACTACTACTACTTCTACTACCCTTACAGTGCCCCAGCTAGAACCGGTTCGAAACAGTTCTAACCAATTTGGAACCGGTTCAAAACCGGTTGGCGGTTTTTCTAACAAAACCAGTCGACCAATGAGGAAAAGACTAGTTACTATGTCAACGGAACAGCCAATTAAATCGCAGCAAACGGTTGCTATTGACCAATCGGATTATAGAGACGCAAACAGCC